CACTGAGAATGCACTGGGGATGACTGGGAATACTGGGAACACACTGGGAACGCACTGGGAACGCACTGGGAATGCACTGGGAATATACTGGGAATGCCTTCATTAACAGCACAGCTCGTTTGGTGGGACACTTCCACATCTGTGCCCAGAGCCTGCATTCCCCAGGGCTGCATTTCCCATCTGCAATGCACAGCCAGCCTGTGCCAGCCCTGGGTGCTTTCCCTGGCATCACTGAGGGCAGAGAACCATCCCACAGGGAGAATCATCCCCCAGTTCTGCCCAAAATTCCCTGAGCCCGTTCTGCTGAGCAAGGCAAAGGCTCTGAGTGTGCACAGGGGGCTGGCAGTGCTGCTTGTTTTGGCAGAGGAGACGAGAAAACCGCAGAGCATTCGAGTTCAGAAGGCTCATTATGACTAATCTGCCTTCCTGAGCTGCAGGTCTTTTATTCCAGAGTCAGATATAGGCCTGCCCTGCCAGGGAACATCTGCAAGGGATGCTAATTTGGAGATTTGTGGGAAAGGTGGCACAAGATGCAGCCAGATGAGTCTGCAGCAGGGCTGGGAGGGAGCTCAGGGTGGGGAGAGGAGCTCTGCCAGCCCCCGGAGGGGTCTGCACCAAAATCCAGCTCCAGAATCCAGCTCCAGCATCCAGCTCCAGAATCCAGCATCCTGCTCCAGCATCCTGCTCCAGAATCCAGCATCCTGCTCCAGCATCCTGCTCCAGAATCCAGCACCCAGCCTGGCTCTGGGGCTGCTGGAGAGCCAGGCTGGGCTCTAACTGGGGAACTGGGACCTGTATTTCCACCCCTGAGCAGGATTTTGCATTTCAGGTGTCACATTTGCTGCTGGAGAGGCAGGCTGGGCTCTAACTGATGAACTGGGACCTGCATTTCCACCCCTGAGCGGGATTTAGCATTTCAGATGTTGAATTTGGGTGCCACAGAGAAAGGCTGAGCAGCCTGGGCTGGCTGGGGCATTTTCCTCACTCTCCTCCTCATCTGCACAGCACTGAGCCCTGATTTTGGGAGCATGAGGAACTGGTGCTTTGGAGCATCTCCCACGAGATAACAGCACCCTGCAGGGAAACAGGGGGAGTTCAGCACCATTCCGGGCCAGTTTTTGTGGATTTGTGGGGTTTTCACTTTCTGTGATACCTGAGCAGCATTCAGGGGTGTGTGTGATGCTCTTGTACCAGTGAATCAGTGTTAAAGGGTTTGGGTGAGTCTGGTTTCTGCAGGAGGAGGAACTGAGTGCAAACTGAAGTGGTTTGCTCTGAAAATCCTTCCCCATTTTTGTATCTGTCGAATGTTGGTGCCAGAAAGAGACAGGCCTGACACAGAAAGCAGAAAATTTGGGGTAAACCTGCAGGGAAATTCATTCTGCAGTCCAGGACTGGCCTTTACAAACCTCTGCCTTATCCCAGACGTGTCAGAAACGTTTCCTCTTCAGCATTTGTGGCCAACTGTTCCTCTCATCAGAGGAATCAGGTCACCATCAGGACCTCAGAGCTCTCTCCAAAGCTTTCCACAGCAGCAGCCTGTGACAGAGCAGCAGAGGAATGAATTATCTCATGGTCAGGGGCTGATATCCCCCTGGCATTTCCCTTTTTCTGTGGCCTGGAGCAGTGCAGAGGCACCTGATCCCCTCCCAGCCCCTGTGCTGCTCTGAGTCTGCTGCTGCAGGAGCACAAAATGAGCTCATGGTCAGGAAATGCAGAACATTCGGGATATTCACCAGTGTTTGCCCCAGGAACAGCACCCCACAAACCAGAAAAGCCCCGAAAAGAAAAGATTTTGCTCCTTATGAGAAGGATGGACTCGTGGGTTTGGAGTTTCATTTTGTTTGGGCTTTGGTTTGCTTGTTATTGAGCTTTATTTTCCGCCGTGATTCATCTGACTCCAGGGCATTTATTGAAAACCTTGGTACGGAATGCAAGGGAAATGAATCTCACTTTAAACTTCCTAAGGACATCTCCATCACCTGATTAAAGTCTCCTGCAGCTTTTTCCAGCCCTTCCCATTCCAGACTCAGAGACAAGGAGCATTTCTGGCAGGGGCAGGTGTGATTTGTGGCACATCTCCCATCAGACCAGCCATTATTTTAATCCATCCTTTTCCAGGGGAAAGAATAAATTCTTCTTTTCTTTAGTAGGGCTGAAAAAAAACCCCACGCAGAGATGAGTTTTACAAGCAGTTAAATGCTGTAAATCAACAGGCTGAGGCAGATGGCAAAGAGTCAGTGAGACTCAGAGCTCGTCCATTAAACACCTCGCCCAATTCTCAGTTATTAAATTGCTCTTTCCTGACTCAGATTGGAGTTGATTTCCTTATGGATGGCTGGATGGAAAATATTCTTGTGATCCAGCTGGAAGCCCAAGGAGTCAAGGAGAGGACAGGTCCTTCTTGGCTTTAGAGAAAGCATAAACATCTCAAAGAAATCTTGTCCATCCATTAAATAAATATCTTTATTTAGAGGCAAGCAAAGCATGTGAGAGCTTTTGCTGTCCTGCTCTCCAGAAGAAATACTTGTTCTGTGCTGAGCTCATCTGGCTGCCTTGGCGTTGCAATACTCGCATAAATCCAATAAAAAGGAAATTATTGCAGCAACACTTGGAAAGTTCAGGAGAATTCAGTCTGACTTTAGCACTGAGGATGACTCAGAAAGTCAAGAGTGAGCACACAGCAACTCAGGAGTGCAGCATCCCAGGAGATTTAGGGTCCCACCACCCAGAGAGGTGAAAGCAGCATTTGAGATTCACTGGTTTTGAGAAAACCCCCCCAGAAACTGAATTTCTTTAAAGCCTCACCACAGAGATGGGTTTCACTCTGTTCTCTCTGTCTAGGGCTGTTTGGTGATATGAAAAACACATTCAGAAAAGGTTTTGAGCCATTACAGGAGAAATAAAGAGGAGATTTCTCAGGAAACCCTTGAGATGAGGGACTGCCAATGCTCTGGAATGAGCTGGTGTCAGGGATATTAAACTATGAGAAGATATGAAGATATTGCAAGTGCGGCCACCCTTTCAGGAAATGGTTTCTCTTGGTGTTTGAATGGCACAGAGATCTCTTTGCCAGCGCAGGGAGGGTTCAGACAAGGAGCACAGCTGAGAATTCCAGTGGTGTTTTTAGGGGCTGGGAAGGACGCGGTGCTCTGGTCCTGTTCCTTACAGCGGGGCTGTACGAGCTGCCAACAGCAGCAATAACAGCTCCGGGCGGGTTTTTACACAGAAATCCCTGCTTGCCGTGCTGGGGGGCTATTACAGCGACTTGATGAAGGTCTCTAGGGTGAGAGAAGGATGAGAATCTTGTTTGATGATCAGAAGGCTGGATTTATTGATATATGATATATAATACATTTTAACTATACTAAAAAGAATAAAGAGAGAAGTTGCAGAGGCTGCTAACTTAAGAATAGCATAGAAAAGAATTTAAAACCAAGAGAGTTCTCTGTCACTGTGTTCTAGAGAGCTTGCCCTGCGATTGGCCCTTAATTGTACACATGGAACATGAACTAATCACAGGTGCATCTTATTGCATTCTACAGCAGCTGATAATCATTGTTTACATTCTCTTTCTGGGGCTTCAGCTTCCCAGAAGATGAACAAATCCCAAAGAAAAGATTTCTATGAAAAAATGTCTGCGACAAGGGGCCACTCTGTGCTTTCCTTCCCGTGCTGAGGGGCCACTCCGAGCTTTCCCTGTCCTTCTAGGGGGCCATTCTGTGCTTTCCTTTCCATGCTGGGGGGCCATTCCGTGCTTTCCCTGCCGTGCCACGGCTGTGCACACGAGGACAGCGCTAACCTTGGTGCTCAGAGGGTGCCAGAGCTCCAGGAGCACCAGAGCATCCCGGGCCGAGCATCCCTGTGCGAACCTTGAACATCCCTGGCAGAGCATTCCTGACTGAATATCCCTGGTAGAGAATCCCTGGCTGAACATCACTGGCCGAGCATCCCTGAGTGAGCAATCCCTGAATATCCTTAGCAGGGAGAGAATCCCAGGCCGAGCATCCCCAGCTGAACATCCCTGAGTGAGCATCCCAGGCCGAGCATCCCTGAGCGAGCAGAGAATCCCTGGCAGAGCATTCCCAGCCGAGCATCTCTGAGGGAACATCCTGGGCCGAGAATCCTTGTCCTAACATCCCGGATCGAGCATCCCTGGCAGAGAATCTCTGACCGAGCATCCCCGGCCGAACATCCCTGGCAGAGCATCCCTGACCGAACATTCCTGACCCAGCATCCGTGCCCGAGCATCCCTGGCTTTCCCTGCCATCCCTGCCCGAGCATCCCCGGCGCTCACCCGGGAGCTCAGCGCGGGGCAGGGCAGCGCTCAGGGAAGGGCCGCTCCCCCCGAGGGGTTCCTGGGGGTGGGACCCCACCTCGCTCCTCTCTCCGGGGCTGCGCTGGGGGCGGCCGAGCCCCTCCAGCCCCCCCGGTCCCGGCCCCGCGCTCCGCCCGCCGCTGTCCCGGTGCCGGGGCCGCATCCCCGGGGCTGGAGCCGCCCATCCCCATCGGCCGGGCTGAGTCCGTGGGATTCGGGGGAGGAAACTTCGCACCCTCCCCTCCCCTCCCTCCCCTCCCTCCCCGCGGCAGCGGCAGCGGCAGCGGCGGGCGAGGCAGAGCGGGAGCGCTGCGGGAATTCGCATCCCGCGGCCGGAGAAGGGAGCCCGAGTGGAAACAGGTTGTTGGCATCTGCCCGCGGGAGGAAGGGGCGGCTCTGCCCGGCCGCTAGCCGAGCCTGGGCTCCGGGAGATGGAGCCGGAGCTGCTGCCTCGCCCGCCGGCCGTGTGCTGAAGGGGATGGACAGCGAATTGCAGCGGGGGAGCCCGGCCCCGGGGAGCTGAGGCGCTTCCCAGGGGGCTGAGGAGCTTCCCAGGGGGCTGAGACGCTTCCCAGAGAGCTGAGACGCTTCCCAGAGAGCTGAGACGCTTCCCGAGCTCCCCAAGTTCCATCAGTGCCCAGCCCGGGGTGCCCACGGCGAGTCCCACCCGCCCCGCTCCCAGGGGTCAGGCAGGTGATTGCCTTTCTTTCTGCTCCTCTGCTTTTTTTTGCGTGAATGCTGGACAGCGAGAAGTCTGCCTGAAAGCCTGGGAGAGCTTGGGAAAAGCCACGGTGGAGAGTTGTGGTGGTTTGGATTTATTTGGCACAAAGTACTCGCACCTCTGCTCGAGGGATTCGTATGGCTTGAAGGTAAGAGATTGGTGTTGTGCTTTTCTTCCAGAAATAGGGATGTGGTGAATATCCTGGTGAGGGAACACAGACAGCAGTGGCTGCTGCGATCACCACTGCCTAGAGATGTAAATAAAGACAGGAGAAAAGGGAAAATATTTGTCATTACACCAAAAGGATCCATTAAGCCGTTCCTTTCCGCGAGACAAGAGGCGAGAGAGCGGCTTTTCAAACTGAAATTCAGGCTGTCTCATTTCTCCATCTAAACCTCTCACTGCAAAGCAACAAACAATTGTTATTGTATGCTAAAGAGGCATTTGGAGTTGCTGAGAAGCTCGGCTGGTTTTTAGAAGTTTGATGTTTAACGCTGCTCTCAGGCAGACACAATGGAGAGAGTGACAGGGAGAAGTGGAGGAGGATGTGTGCAGAGGATATAATGTGGGTACACTCCAGCTCCCCAAGGAACAAGAGTGTTCAGTCTAATGATTTGAGGGAACTCTTTTCTCCTCTTACCACACTCATTCTTTTACATCTGGTGAGGCAAAGCTGGCATCCTGTCAGACTTCGTGCTCAGCACCAGTCCTGATGCAGAGCAATCCTCCCCAGTGGGGAACAGGGGATCTGTCACCCTTTCCTGAGAACCCCTGGAAGGAAACCTCTCAGAAATTCTCCTCTGAATGCTGCAGGCATATTTTGTGTTTACAATCACCTTTGTCTCGACCTTAATTCATTTTTCCATTCCCCCCAGTTCTAAGCTCCATCCAGCCTTTTGAAACCAGTGCAAAGTGTGGCTTTGGGGCAGGGAACCAAACCCCAGGCTGGCGCTGGGTCCTGCTCAGCCCCGGGGTATTTTTGGTCCAAGCTGTTGTCTGTGGGTTGTTTCTACCCCAGATCACACTTCCCCACTCTGCAGTTCTCAAGTCTCTCTCCCATGCCGGCTTTGCCACATGCCAGGCGTGGAGCTGCACCGCTCCCAGCATGTGTGTGGAGCATGAATCACTGCTGCTCGAGTTGCTGGAGCTCCGAGTTGGAAAGGAAAACAGCCTGGTTTGTTTTATAAATACCCAGGTTACAGCAGGGCTGGTCAGAGAGGTTACACATGCTGAACAGCGTGGGCTGGGTCTCCTACGTGCTCCGGCTTTCCTGGCATTATTGTTCTTTACACACACAGTGGTATTAAAAACTCAAAGCCCTGGTTTTTATCTCTTTTGAAGTAATTGCTTGTAGTAATCTAGGAAAAAACTCTTGGCAATATTTCTGATTCCATCAAGTAAAGATTGTTGTAGTTCTTGTTATCCCCCCTCCCTTTAACTTCTATCCCATGCTGCAGAAATTCTGTTACGTTCAAGGCTCCCTTGCTTACTTCTGAACAGAGTTTGTAAAAGAGTTTCCTACTGATTTATGAACTCTGTGTAAAATCTGCTGCGCTTTCCGCATTTCCACCTAACTTCCATGTGCACACACACGCACTGTGTGTGGAAATGAGCTTCCCTGCCACACTTGAGCAGAAAGTGTGCAAGCTGTAGGCTTTAGAGAGCAGCCTGTGACCCCACAAAAGCAGGGGAGCAGTCGGTGTGGGTGTGTTTGAGAGCTCCTTCCCTGTGAGATTCTGCCCCTGTGTCGCTGCCACCCTGCAGGAAAGGCTTGGGCAGGGTCTGGGTGGGATCAGTGGCCCCACAGTGTCCCCCGTGCTCATCCTGACACTGCTCCACACCCCAGATCTCCCTGAGCTGAGGGGGATCCCCCCCTGAGCCTGCCTGGCCGTGGGGATTGGGTGATTTGTGCCCACAGAGGGACCAGCAGAGGCACAGGTGTCCCCTCTGTGCCCCTGTGCCAGGCAGGAGGACACGGGGTGCCCTTGGCGTGCTCAGGAGCCACACACCTGCCTGGCAGGGACACAGCTGTGCCCTCCTGGCACCTCATGGATGGGCCTGGCATTGTCCCCTGGATGTCCCCTGTCCATGGATGTACCTGGCTGCTCAGGCATGGCCACATTTCACACTTCACAAGGGGATAAACAAACCCACTGAGCCACCTGGGGAAAGGTAATCACGGAGTCACCTGAATAAAACCCTCTGCTGGGCATCCTCCTGCTTTTGGAGCGCCTTTAATTTATCCCAAATCTCTCTGTAGCCTCGGCTGTTCTGGTGTGCCAGGGTCTGCAGGCACTCAGGGGCTGATAAATGCACACAAAAATACAAATATTGGATCCTGCTCGCTGCTCCAGGCTGCGGGGGCCAGGCAGGATTCACAGCAGAGACATCACAGCACCTCATGGATGTGCCTGGCATTGTCCCCTGCCCTGCCCAGGCTGCTCCAGGCTGCAGGCACCAGGCAGGGTTCACAGCAGGGACAAACGTGCTGGGAGATGCAGCTGCAGCAGCAGGAGAAGCTCACAGAGCAGCTCAGAGCAGGCAGGGCTGTGTCACAGCTGTTCCCGCTCTGTGGCACAGGCCTGGCACAGAAAGGGCCATTCTCTGGGTGTTCTCCTCAAACCAAACCCATCCTTTGCTCCAAACCAGCAAATCTCCACCCTCCCTGCTCTGGGTGCTTCAGCTCTGGAGCTGCAGGGGAAGCTGATGGAACCAGGAATGTCCTGAGCTGGAGGGACCCACGAGGTTCATTCTGCGACAATCACCAGACACAAATTCCCTAAAACAGCAGCCAAAAAAAACCCTTTGAAAAACATTTCTCTTCAAGGTTTTGTAGCTCTCCAGTTATGAAGAGGATGGGTTTGGCTCACACCCCTCACAATCCTTTCAGGATAACTCGATTTCAATTTCACCCTCTGTGCACAAATTCCCTGTGAGCACGGAGGAAATCTGGGACTCAGCTTTGGATTTCCCTCGTGCCCAGAGCTGACATTCCCTGCCAGGAGGTGCAGGGCACTGAACCCTGAGCTGGGAACCCTGGCACTGATGCAGAACGTTCCCGAGTGCTGGGGACCCTGGGGAATTGCAGTTCCAGGGGAAAGGAGTCCACAGATTGTTAATGAATGCACAGCAAACAGTTGGGTGATGGGGGAGTGTTTGCAGAAACATCACAAACATTTCTCCATTCTCACACTCCTGCCCAGGCAAACGCAGAATTGGATAAATAAAAAGATCCCAGACTGGTGGAACTTCGGCCTCCCTGGGGTATTTTTCTAAGAGAAAATTCAGTGGGCTGAAGGTTAAAATGTATTGAGGCTTGGAATACAGGTTTGGAAAGCTTTGTCTGGGATCAAACTTTGCTGGTTTTCACAAATAAAAACTTCCAGCAGCTCCTGAGGAGCAGGGACCCAGAGCAGTGAGAGCCAGGCTGCTGCCAGCGAGATCCTTTGGGGAAGGGGGAGGCAATTGTTTAAGTCCTGTCAGATGCATCATCCCCTGTGCTGTTACAAAACCAACCTATATTCAATCTGGAGCGATTGCTAATAACCATTAACTCCTCTCCCAATTGTTCTGCTTCAATCATGTTTTCTCTCGCTGTCCTTCACCTGGGTATTTTTAGCATTGTAATTTTTTTAATTTTTTTTTTTTTTTTTTGAGATGTGACTGTGCGTTCAGTTGCTGCTTCTCTGTACGTCCCTCCCAATTATCCCGGTGGGTATTTTTCTCTCAACCCCCCAGAATGGGTTTATTTCTGGTTTACTCTTCCCTGTTGGTTTCCATGTGGTTATGTGGGAGGCTGCACTTTCTTTATCAAAGCAGAGAGCCATGATTAGTCCATTCAGAAAATGTAAATGCAGCTTTATGTGTTCTGGAGCGCTGGGGAGAGGGAGAGGCTGCAAGGAGCAATAAAAGCTGCGATAACAGAGCCCTGCAGGGAGCTCAGGCATGGCCGCACTTCACACTTCACAGGGGCATAAATAAACCCACAGAGCTGCCTGGGGAAAGGTAATCACGGAGTCACCTGAATAAAACCCTGAATAAATCCCAAATCTCTGTGTAGCCTCGGCTGTGCCAGGGTCTGCAGGCACTCAGGGGCTGATAAATGCACACAAAAATACAAATATTGGATCCTGCTTGCTGCTCCAGGCGAGGTTCACATCAGGGACACAGCTGTGCCCTCCTGGCACCTCATGGATGGGCCTGGCATTGTCCCCTGGCATTGGGCCTGGCATTGTCCCCTGTGCATGGATGTACCTGGCTGCTCAGGCATGGCCACACTTCACATTTCACAGGGGCGTGAATAAACCCACTGAGCCGCCTGGGGAAAGGTAATCACGGAATCACCTGAATAAAACCCTCTGCTGGGCATCCTCCTGCTTTTGGAGCGCCTTTAATTTATCCCACGCCTCTCTGTGGCCTCGGCCGTGCCAGGGTCTGCAGGCACTCAGGTACTGATAAATGCACACAAAAATACAAACACTGGATCCTGCTCGCTGCCCCAACTGCCGGGGCTGGGGATGGATCAGCAAAATCAGCGCCATTGAGAGCTCTCTGCGCAATCTGCAGCTCCAGGGAGAGAAATGAACCCTTGAGCAGCAGCTCAGGTTGTTCAATCAGCTCCCCTGAATGCTGCAGCTGACACACTCCAGCAGAGAACTTTGAGCTATTACCTAAAATCTGGCACCTTGCAAATCACTTGCCTAAACCCCCTCCTATTTTGATGTCTCAGGCAACGTGGAGCTCCAGCAAATTAAGACTCTCCACAACGAGCACTCTCTGACCCCCAGCCCCTTTGTATCTGCTTGTTTCAAGCGTCTGCATGTTTGTATGACAGCTGAGAAAAATGCGATTATCTCTGGGATTGCTGGAATCTGGTATGAGGTGTCCTGCACTTGATCTGTCTCCTCCTTTCAGCCCCAGCCTTGCCTCCATCCCTGGAAGCCACCCCAGAGAGGGGCCAGGACACCTCCAGCCTCCCTGAGACGTCCCCACACAGAGCTGGGAGGTGAATCTCAGCCACCCGGCTTTGAAAAGCCACAATTATAAAGAACTTGCTAATTTAAAAAGCCCTTAAAAATAGAAACACCCCCCACACTCACATCCACATTGTTGAACAGGAAGAATCACTCATGTCCCAGTACATGAATC